AGCCGGACCCCCGCCCACTGCCGGCTGCCACCGGGTGCCCCTTCCCCTGCCCCAGCCCCCCTTCCCCTGCCCAAGCCCCCTTTCCCCTGCTGAATTAAGTGCTGCTCCTTTCTCAAAAGGAGGAGAACATGAACCGTCTCCCTGGGAAGGAAGGAGGCTTTGCTCGGTGGCTCTGACCCACCTCTTTTCGGCAATGGCCCCAACAAGCCGGGGTGTCCTTGTGGAAGTGCCTGGGGGGTGCTGTGTGCTCTACCTGTGGGACTACTGCTTCTCTGCAGCAGCCATGATGGTCCCTGTGACCCAGCGCAACCGTCTTGCTCGAGAGGGGATCAGGTGCTCAGCTGGGTCTCTGGCAGGGTCTGGGGCTGCGTTGGGGGGCCAGGAACTGGCGCCTCTTTCCCTTTCATTGGGGCGGAGAAGGAGGGGAGGGCGGCTGGACAAGTGGGGGCAAAATGCCATCTTTGGTACCCTGACTGACAGCTGGGCAGCTGAGCTTAACCTGCCCGAGGCTGGCCTGGCTAAAGGGCCAAATCAACCAGCCTTCCTGGATTGGGACGTTAGCCAGATGTGTGGACTTCAACTCCCAGAATCCCTCTCTGCTCAGCTGGGAGCAGACAAGCCGCACTAAAGCAGCAAAGCCTCTAGGACAGCCATGGGTCTCCCACCCACTCCCCACAACCATGGTGGAGTGACCCAATCATGGTTCTAACCCCTCTGGCACCCTGGTTTCCCCCACCGGCTGCACAGCAGATGTGTCGCACCTCCAATGTCCAGAATTCCTATGGAGCCCAACACATCTGGACGGCGCCAGCAGGAGAAGCTGGGAAAAGAGGTGTGCTCAGCTGGGGGGGCGTCTGGGTGCTGCTCTGCCCTCCGCAGGGACCCTTGCGATTGAAGGTGAGCGTGCAGCACCATCACCCACGTTTTCTAGAGCTCTGGCTTCCGCAGCCTCATGGGAAGTTGATTAAGGGCCCCCGCCCCCAGCAAAAGGCAGAGTGCGTCCCCCCCCGCAGCTGGAGAGTCAGCCCCTCTCTGGGAGGGGGCAAGCGCCAAGGGCCGGCCCGGGAGGGAGGAGCAGGCGCTGCAGGAGGCAAAGGAGCGTCCGCTGGACTCTGCTGGGACAGTCCGGGGCCGGCTGGGACACGGGGCCTCCCGAGAGCCAGCGGTGAGTTGGGGGCCCTTTGGAGGGAGAGCGTGCAGCCCCCCTGGCACATGGGGTGGCCACCGGTCCATGGGGTCCCACAAGACTGGGGGTCTTGGGAGGAAAAGATGCGCCCAGAGAGATCCCTTTTTCTGGGACGGACTGGCATCACCAGGAATCCATTGGTGGGGGGTCTGTGTGCATATCCCCCCCCAGTCTTTGGCCTTCCTCGGGCTGGATTTTGTAGAACACGTAGACACAAGCAGTGCAAGGTGCTGGTGGCGAGGAGGTGTGTGTGCAAGAGACGCCTCCCTGCTCCCCCGGCTGCCCCCTCCTCCTCCAGGGAGTCGCCGGCAGTTGGGGGGCACCGTCGGCCTCCCCAGACCCTCTGAAACCCCACGGTGCCTTCCCATTCTTCAGGCCCTGCTCCCACAATCAGGTCAGGGAAGACCAGCGGTTGGATTAGGGTTAATCTTGGGGAGGGTTTGTGTGCCCGTGGGGGGAGAAAACCCAGGCCGTGGGTAATGGGGTTGTGCGAACACCGCCAGGGAGGAACACGTCAGCTTGATTATTTGGTTTACTTTCACTTTACTGTGATTTAAATTAAGGTCACTTAACCAAGCCACGGCCCCCACTGCTCTCTCCCCACTCCCGGGGAGAAGCCGGGCGGGGGTGGGGGCCGGTCCCCCAGGAGGAGGCTTGGGGGGCTGGGGAGCCTGTGTCTGGAAGGGGACCGGGGTGGGGCTGTCTGAGGGACCCCTGCTGCCCCCCAGGCAGACCCGCTTTAGCAATCAGGTGTGGCGAGACCAAGGCGCACACCTCCTTTGCACGTGGCACTGAGCTGGAAGCCGGATCGGGCGGAGAAAGAAGCCTCTGCCCCGCCCGCTCCGGCATGCCCGGAACAAGCTGTCTGTTGGCAGATGTTCACCTGGTGCAGCTCTCCCCTTTTCACCCAGGGGCCAAACAACCACAACCCCTGTGTGTGTAATTTTTCTTTGGTTTTATCTGAACTTCAAATTCGATGCACAGGCAGGCCCCAGAGTCCACTGATGGGGAGGAGTACACCCGAGCCCCACAGCCTACCCCAAGCGGGGGGCGGGTTGCTGAAAGCTGGTCAGTCCGCTCCAGATTAGCGACTGGCCTGAACTTTTAGAAAGTTTGGAGAGGTGTCTCAATCCAGAAGTAGCCGAGATGCTGGTTTTCTGAGCCCCTTGGTGGCCATTGCCCTGGGGCCTGACGTGGGGCTTCTATCTGTTGGAAGGGGGACCTTGGAACCAAAGCAGGGCTGGCCCTGATGGAATGGGGATGGGGGACCACCAGGAAACCCCAGGGCTGTGGGTTGGATGGGAGGTGGAAAGCACACTGGCGAGAAGGCAACGTCCCCCTGCTCCCTCCTTCCGGCAAGAAAGGAACCTCCGTGGGGGTCTGCAGGAGGCTTAGACCAGCTAAGAGAGGTTTGGGGGCAGAGGAGCTCCCAAGAGCCAGGGCAACCCCCGGACGTGCCCTCCTCCACGAAAGCCCGCTGCGCAGGGCTGCCCGGGCCAGGTGGCCGGGCCGCACAGCCGTTGGCCCGACGTCAGGGCCGGGAGGGCGCCTGCTGCACCGCCCGATAACCCTTCCGTGCAGCAGGCCCTGATAAGGCGGCTGCGCCAGGCACGTCTCCCGCAGGGCCACGCTGGAGCCGGGGGAGGCGGGGGGGTCGCCCTGATAACAGCCTGGCGCTGGCGGAGCCCTCAGCCTTTCCGCCCGCCTCTCTCGGCAGGGGCGCTCCGCGGCCAGCCCGGAGGCCCAATGGCGCGCTGGGCCCGCCGCTCGCGG